ACATGATCTAGCTTGTAAATTACATAAAAATGCCATATTTGCAAACTTGCAACACCAGTAACACCAATGCAGTGCGTTTAGGATAATGTTTATTTGTAAGTGTACATTATGTCACAGCATTACAAATCCCAGTACAGACGACACTGAAGTTGCCACATAGCCCTGAGTTGTTCCTGGAAATTTGTTTAGGTTGAAACAACTTTTTGTAGAAGTGTGCTTTGTACCTGCACTCTTACACATAGACAAACCTTAAATGCAATCCGCGATCGAGCCTAATCACACGAACTACTGCTGGTCAGTTCACTTTACCTCAAATGACAATTTCAAATATTTGTTTAGTGACAGGGACAGCCTGTTTTAAACATGGCAGTGGAAAGGAAAATGACTCAAAATCCAAATTTTAGACTTAATTTAGTGTGTTGGAGAAATTTGTTTTCCAGCCACCGCAGTTTTATGATACTGATAAGTCTTCAGTCTAGGTTGATTCTGCACCACAGTGTAGAATCTGCTTTTTTTTTTTTTTTTAATATTTTCTAATGACCTCTTATTGTTGATCTTGGCCAATCTGCTGTGCTAGTATTACTGTATCTCAGTGCTGCATTTGACACAGTGGGCCTCATTGTCCACTGCATCAGCTTAAGCAGTGTGCGTTGTCTCCAAACGAGAGCCAGAGGGACGAGCGGAGCAACAATGGTAAGAACCAGGAGAAGAATGAAGCCAAACAGATTAGTTTGTGTAAATGCTTTTATTACAAGTATCCAGCATAATGAGATGGCTGCACCACTATATCAACAAACTAACATATCCTGAAAGGGATGATTAAACAAAAGAAAAATACTTCTGCTGCCAAGCTGCAGATTAGGTCATGTACAAATAGTGACTAAAGACAAGCTTCCCTTACTGCATACTGCAGTGTTCTGTTTCTTACTTAATTGCTGCAACTTTTACCCAATGTTTTATACTATTACAACTGCAGATGGTTTTATTTGCTGTGCAGCACTGTGGTCAAAGTCCGTTGTGTCCACCTCCAGTCCTTGAGAGCCACTGTCCTGTAGCTTTTAGATGCATCCTTGTTCTGACACACCTGAATCAAATGAATGGCTTGTTACCAGGACTTTGCCAAACTTGATGGCATGCCGAAGAGGTAATCCAATCATTTGATTCAGCTGTGTTGGAGTAGGGATGCATCTAAAAGCTGCATGACAGTAGCTCTCGAGGACTGGAGTTGGACGCCCCTGTGCTAGGATATAGAAATAAACATACTTTTTGATCCTGCAGTGTTCTGCTACGGTGGCCCTGTGCTGACCACTCTGGAACTGGTGGATTACCCAGAAACCACCCTGTCAGAGAATGCGCTGAGAAGTCTCACCTCTCTTGAGTCGCTGTCTGTCAGGTACAGGTACATCAGAGAGGGCGTTGAGTGTCGCCTGCAGGCCTGGCTGAGTCCTCTGCAACACTTAAAATCTCTCGCTATCATCGGTGAGTAACTCTGCTGTTCTGCAGTTTGTGTGGGTTTCTTTTAGTTGGTCTGGGACAACTGCATAATTGTTAGGTAACTAATATTTTTTGCGCAGGTTTAAAAAGCATCTTTCTGCATCGTTATGCATCATTTATTTGGCAATGTCAGTGTATCTTAATTCCTGGTTTTCAAAGCAGAACTGAGCCTCAGGCTGGGGAAATAATAATAATAATAATAATAATAATGAATTGCATTTATATAGCACTTTTTGAGACCCTTAAAGCGCTTTACAATTCCACTATTCATTCACTCCCACATTCACACACTGGTGGAGGCAAGCTACAGTTGTAGCCACAGCTGCCCTGGGGCCGTCTGATAGAAGCGAGGCTGCCATATTGGCCCCTCTGGCCATCACCAGTAGGCGGTAGTTGAAGTGTCTTGCCCAAGGACACAACGACCGAGACTGTCCGAGCCAGGGCTCGACCTGACAACCTTCCGACTACAAGATGAACTCCCAACTCTCGAGCCACGATCGCCCGAAATCCAAGTTTCTCCTTAACTCTTGGTGCTGCTTTCTGTCCTTTTAGGTGGGAATTCTCTCACTACCTATACCACCACCATCCCACCCAGTGTGACCAGGCTGACGCTGCGAGTAGCCATAACGCTGAAAGACATGGACTCTATTGCGCCTAAAGTCCCAGGACTGGAGCACCTTGACATTGAACAGAACCGCTCCAGCGGCAGTCTCTGCAGACGGATCCCTATGCTGTTTCCTCAACTCAAGACACTCAGGATACGGTGAGCCTTAGTTCATCCTAGTTTTTCTGCCTGGCAGTCTAAGCAGGAGAATGTTGATCAGACTGTATTATGCTTTATCATAAAGTAAAGCATAATACAGTCTTCTCATTTGAGAACATTAGGTTTTTCCTTAAGAATGGTTAAAAACAAGTATTCAGTTATAAAACATTTTAGATTCATTTTCAACTAACAGATTATCCCATAAGATGATGAAAATTTGGGTTACCCAAAATTCTTTGGATAAATTTGGTCAGTTCAAGATTTTACAGGGAACTAATCTGTGGGGACAGCTTTCTGCAGTGAATGAACAGTTTGTTCTGTTTGTTTGTTTTTTTAAAATGTGTCTAATCCCTGTAATAAAATTATGTTTCAAGAAATGTAATGATCTAAGTAAGGGAAGATTTGGATAAAATCCCAGTGAAGAGGTCTCAACAAACTACTGTTAATTAAAAATGAAAATAAGCATTAATCAGTCATTTAAGAAATGCTGATTGTTTAAATGTGCACTTCTCTTCCATATAACCTGCCTCAAAATATACAGGGCACTAAAGCATCCATACATGATGAAATCTTAGTCCGTTCAGCGGTGATCGGATGTAGCAGTTTGATTTGTGCAGGTTGTTTCTTGTGTCCATCGGGAAGTCCCCCCTACAATTGCTCAGTTAGCATCAGCTATTTTAAATTAACTATCAGATTTTTTTTTTTTTCTGGAAAAAATGGTTTCCTGTTTTGTTTTTGTTTTGTTTTTAAAGCTGCAGGCCTTTTTTTTTTAGTATCTGTATAACAGGGTATGAGGCCCACATGACTCAAAGACCTACAATAGACCTATTAATGAGTAAATGAGGGTGGCAGTGGCTCAGGATGTGGATTGTCTACCAATCAGGAAGTCAGTGGTCAGATTTCCATTGGGCAAGAATCTGAACCATGAGTTGCTTTGATGCCTTAAGCAGAATGTGTGCGTGTGTAAGTGATGTTGGATTAAGGCGGCTGGGCATAGAAAAGCACTTGTATGGATGTGTGTGTGTTCGATTGGGTGAATGAGAGCTTTGAGTTCTCAGCTGAAGAAAAGTGCTATTTAAGTACCAGTCCATTTACTGTTTAAAGACGTTTCAACGAGCAAACGAGAAAATGACCTTACTACAGTCCTATAAGATATTGTGAACCTGCTCTTGAGGTACGTTAACGAGTCCTGTCCTGTTTCCTGCAGATTTTTCCGCCGGGAACCAGAGAAAGACCTGCTGAGCCTCCACAAGCTGCGACACCTGGTGCGGCTGGAGCTGATCGTGGAGCGTTCGTTCATCCTCCGAGATTACCTCAACGGGCACCCTTGGCCGAGCCCATCTGTGCAGGGGCTGATCAGTGAGCTGCAGGAGCTGTCTGAGAACAAGATCACGGTCATAACAACGATGCGGCAAAGGAACCCACTGCGTGAATGTGACTGTGTGTGGGAAGGAGACTGAACGGGTGCGAGGCAGAAATGTGGGAATTAAGTTATTTTTCTTCCCAAAAGCACTGCACAAGAATGAGCAGTGTCAAGAAGACCTGAGGTAAGAGCCACCCGTTGTCTGAAGGAAAATGTATGAAGGCAGCCATGGATCAGGAGTACTGAAGGTCTTCTCGGTCATAAAGCTAATAAGTAGGCCGAAATGTGACACATTTTTTGGCAACAAACAGAAGAGCAGAGTAGCAGTTGCGTCATGTTATGTCTGGCTGGTTTGTGAAATGGTGCAATCCACATACAAAATACGTTAGTTATGTTCATTATTAAACGATGCCTTACATGCTCAGGCATGGTCTTTAAAGACATAAGAAGCTGTTAAATAATCAGATCTGTCAGTTTATTCCAATTCCCAAAGTGACTGATTCAAGTAGCCTGTTTTTGTTCTGTAAGATCTGACAGTACTGTTTACTTTAATGTAACACATGAAGAACAGTAGCAGCAAGTCATGTTTTGAGAAGGCAGTTTATGTTGAAAACTCCTTAAAAAATTTTTTCTTAAACAGAGATGTTTTGGGATCAGCCTGTGTGTCTGACACATCTGTCAGAGGCAAATGTTTATCTGTTGAGTCATCTGAGTTTTGCTTTCTGGATGAATAATTAAAGATAGTTTGAAGAGCTGAAAAGACTCTAAAATAGGTTCATTATTTTAATAATGGAGATCTTTGTGTCCTTGACAGAAAGGGGGAAATATGAGAAAAAACTAAACTGAGTAAGAGGACAAAGACCTCAGGATCAAAGTTGTCTAGTGGTCAAAATATTTGTTTTGAAACAAGAAACGGCTTCTGTGTTACTGCAAAAACGCATCATTGTTACGTTTTGAGTCCAGGTGACTTCATTTTTGAATTTTTAAGCTAATCATTTCTTATTCATTTATTGCTTTTCAACAAGCCCTACAGTTATTTCTGAAGAGCAACATTTTTCTAAATGTCTGCAGATTTTTATTTATTTTCTTTAGCTTTACAATTTGAATGTAGCAAGAAATGCAGAAGGGTTAGTTTTAAAAACTCCTTTGTTCAACAGGGTTAATGTTACATTTCTTTGCTGAGTGTTTTACTTTTATGGATGAATAAAAAATTCATTAGAACATTTTTTTTTCCTGTGATTTGTACAATATGGAAAAGTCCTAAAAAATTGATATAGAACTTCCAACTGTTTTGAGTATTTTAGTCAAGATTCTGCAGAACTGTGATATTTGATGTGTTGTCTTTCCTTCATGCAGTAATTAAAATAGCTTGACCACAGCTGACCTTGTTGCAGATTTTATTAACAGGAAAATTCCACAACACTAGTTTAACCTTTACATGAGGGATGGAAGAAAGCCCAGATGAAGTACTGAATGTCCCACACTGATGTTAAGATGTACCTCAGAACTCCAGGAGCACAGATTGCGGCTCCACAGAGTTCAGGGTGATTTCTTGTTTCCGTCCATAGAGTCCATGTTCTACCTTTACACCTGCATTTGTGCACTTCGCTGAACCTGTCATGAGTTCTCTGCAGGCGGAGACCAGACTTGAGAAGAGCTGAGCACCCCACCACGGCTCGCATCCACCCTTGTACTGCATCCTTCTGTTGGGTGCTGGCTTTCCAAGCAGGGAGTCTTGGGGGACAAATAAAATACTTCCAGGAAGATCCAGGAGGGACACACAATGCCCGGAATGTTTCCGGAAAAGCCTGGTAGTCATCAGAGTGTTAGCTGTTGAGGACACGGTGGAAAACAGACAAAGCCTTAGGCCACAAGATGGAAATCTGTTTGACTGTTACGTTTAGTTATACATAAATTTATCATCCTGTTAACATAAGAATACCCCTTAAATTCATATTAGGTCCACCTTGCTTGGATCCCCCTTTGCCTTCAGACCTGGATTAATTCTTAGCATAAATTCAGGAAGGTGCTGGAAACATTCCTCAGAGATTTTGGTTCATATTTACATGCAAGCATCACACAGCTGATCCATAATATGAATCTCCAGTTCCACCTCATCCAATGAACTCAATGCTATGTTCAAGATACCAATTTAAGATGATCTGAGCTTTGTGACATAACACAATCGCACATGATCACACTTTGCTCATCAGGTGATGAGTAAAGCGTGATCATTAAAGGATGGACATGGTCAGGGATAATACTCAGGTTGGCTGTGGTGTTTAAACAACACTCAGTTGGTACCATGCAGCTCTGAGTGTGCCAAGATAAGTATCCTACACTCACGCATACACCAACCTGCAGGATCCACACTTTCATGTTGTTTACTGTCAGAATGTCACAGCAGAAAAACTCATCAGACCAGGCAATGCTTTTACAGTCTTCTGTTGTCGAAATTTGATCAGCCTGTGTGAACTGTAGCCCGAGTTCACTTTTCTTAGCTGATAAGATCATTGCCTTTAAGAGCAGTGAGCGTACATACTGTGTTTGAATTGTTTGGATAACTTTTACATGTTTTGTGGGTTTGTTTGTTTTTTTCCACTTTGGCTCAAAGACCAATTTCTGGATCTCTATAAGAAATTTAAGGTGAGCAACTTTCAGTAGTTAATTTAAATTCATTTCAATTTTGTCTAAGCTGCTATTACCGTTTTCTGATTATTAGCTACTGTGAGTCAGCTAACATGTGCAGCAGTAACTCACCCATCTCATTTGTCACATCTTCAGTGGCTCCGTGAAAGAAACACACATAGACAACCAATCCCTGCTGAATCTACGGAGAGGGAGGCACAGTGTGGAAATATAATTAATTGGGTACTTTACAGGATCCCACATAAGAAACAGAGAAAGTCTCACACATTAATGTTTTGTTAACCTCAAGTAAGCATTTACATTTCATTAATTATGAGAATAAAGCGCCACATTATGCCTCGTCCTTCAGCCTGTTACACTGTAGATCCTTTTTGAACATGGAAAAGGTTTGAGTAGTCATAAACCTCAATATCCACACGAGATGGGGTTATACTCACAGAACAGTGTGTGACTAGGCTGATTTAAATACAGTAGTTTTATGAGAACTGATTAAATTAATCCAGTAACTGTTAATAAACCACCATCACACAAAATATAATGTACTGTATTAATCAAATGTATGATAAAAGTACACAAATCCAAAGCAGTGGGCAGCAGGACATGATTATTACATTTCCATGACAAGCAAAAGACTTAATTAAATAAAATACATTGAAAAACAAACGCACCCACCTCTGCCCACTGAGCATCTGCTCCATCCACAGCAGGTTTGAGCTTAATCTTTGCGTGACTACACTGCTGAATGACAGTTCGGGCCTGAAGCCTGATGGGCCTATAAAAAACAGCTGAGCTGCTCAGACACACAAATACAGACGACAAACCCATTAAAACTCTGACAAACACCACCTGCCAGCAAAATCAGAATAATGAAAATAGGTATAAAAAGACTGATATTTTGTGCTGCACCTGTCAGCATTAGGTGAGGGTTTTGCAGTTTTTTCCACAGCAGAGCTACCGATGGTGAAGACAGGCCAGGGTTTGGTGCTCAGGGCCATCACAGGCTCCAGACCACTGCTAGAGCTCCATTTAGCTGAAGAATCTGCCTCTGGGCCTCTTTTCTTCTTCACTGTGCGCTGGATTTGTGTTGATGTATGTGCCTCTGGAGGACTTTTTTGACTTGGAGCCTGAATGTGGTGCAGTGGAGCATGCTGCTCTAAAACCAGCTGTGCTTGGATGCAGTGTTGTGTCCCATTGTTGCCCCGAGGGCTACTTGTTTTTTCCTGTTCTTGGGGCTGTGCAGGCTTCTCTGGCTGGGGATTTATCGGATTCTCTATCCTTTTTTGCTTCTTCGAGCTTTCAGGATCCTTGTGTATTTCAACATGCGAAGAAGTCATTCTCTTCATAGACAAGAGCTTTGTGACAAAGGGGATTTTGGGAGACCTGGGCTGTAAGTTGATGGGATTTTTCAGGTGAAGGAGGATAGGGATTTTGGGCTGAGGATTATTGTGAATTTCAGTCTGGGAGGACAAACTGGAAGAAGGTTCATCCTACAAGTGAGATGGGAGACAAAGTCAGTTCAGCTTTATAACTTACATACAACATAATTATGGAGGTGGCAGAGCATGAGCTAGTTCTTTACTAGAGGCTGAACTGTTACTGTTTTGTTCTTCTAGAAACAACTCGTGCTACCTGCAGCCATTTATCTGAGCTCTGGTATCTAAGTAACTTCTGTTTCATAAAATGTGCATGCATAGACTCATCTGTCTAATCTTAATTGAGAAATACTGCCAGCTGCCAGTGCTAGCCCTCAGCCTCCTAGCAGATACACCGATGGTATCAATTTCAAAATCCTACGCTGGCTCGTTCTTAAGTTATCACATTCACAAGATTTTCAGAAAAGCTGACCGATTTGATCTTGTCTGAGATTTTTAGAACAGCTTCTTTTTCCTCTAGAATTTCTTCAACAAACTGCTCTAGAATTATCAAATCAAGATTTTTGAGTGCCACACTTATCTCTTATGAGGTTTCTGATTTATATCCAGTGATTGCTGGATGGAAAGGCCAATTAGCTTGAAGCAGCCCAACAACTGAACAGCTCCAACACAAGAAAAACTTGGATCCCAAGACAAGCTGACAGATTATTTTTCTTCTTTTTTTTTAATAAAAATGTTTGTATCAGGTATAGGAGACTGATGATGTCACGAAATTGCTTCCTATATGAGCATTTTGACTGCCACTGTGTTGTTGTGTTTTTTTGGAACCAAAAGCTACCAATATCCAAATGGATGTTGAAATAAACACACATAAAAATCAACCACCATAAAGTGGCTTGCGAAAGTATTCGGCCCCCTTGAACTTTTCCACATTTTGTCACATTACAGCCACAAACATGAATCAGTTTTATGGGAATTCCACATGAAAGACCAACACAAAGTGGTGTACACGTGAGAAGTGGAGCGAAAATCATACATGATTTCAAACATTTTTTACAAATAACTGAAAAGTGGGGTGTGCGTAATTATTCAGCCCCCTGAGTCAATACTTTGTCGAACCACCTTTTGCTGCAGTTCCAGCTGCCAGTCTTTTAGGGTCTGTCTCTACCAGCTTTGCACATCTACAGACTGAAATCTTTGCCCATTCTTCTTTGCAAAACAGCTCCAGCTCAGTCAGATTAGATGGACAGCGTTTGTGAACAGCAGTTTTCAGATCTTGGATTTAGACACCAGACAGGTCAGGTATAAAGTTACTGAGAAATTTAAAGCAGGTTTAGGCTACAAAAAGATTTCCCAAGCCTTGAACATCCCACGGAGCACTGTTGAAGCGATCATTCAGAAATGGATGGAGTGTGGCACAACTGTAAACCTACCAAGACAAGGCCGTCCACCTAAACTCACAGGCCGAACAAGGAGAGCGCTGATCAGAAATGCAGCCAAGAGGCCCATGATGACTCTGGACGAGCTGCAGAGATCTACAGCTCAGGTGGGGGAATCTGTCCATAGGACAACTATTAGTCGTGCACTGCACAAAGTTGGCCTTTATGGAAGAGTGGCAAGAAGGAAGACATTGTTAACAGAAAACCATAGGAAGTCCCGTT